TCAGCGGAAAGTATGTTGTTGAAACGCTGTTTATGCTAGGTGTGTGTAGGTGACGAATGCATTTGAAAGCAGGCTGCATATCATGTACGAAGAATCGGGTAGTTGTATTCATACAGAAATACATATTATGCCAGTTATTTCACATTCCCCAATAATATGTTTACGGAAACAATAAGCCTTTCACTTTGCATCCAGTGAAATGATCACCTATCTCTCATATCCAGTTTTTATTGGGAAGTGAATTGTACTATATATATATATATATATATATATATATATATATATATATATATATATATGTATATATATATATATAGAGAGAGAGAGAGAGAGAGAGTTCCAATTGGAATACAGGTCTTCAATGGGACATCTCCACTTTGTCCTGTTCTCTACAGTTCTCTAGATGGCCCTGCGATTGCCCATTTCGCACTTACAACTTTATAGGCTATTAGTGACATAAAACCAAAATTTAGTAAGAGCCAGTTGATTTCTACTACCTCATCCGAACTGATTAAGTCAACATTGATTCCGGCGGTTTCCGATTATAATGAGGAGCGAAAGCTACTCAAACGCAAAGTAACAAGAAGTCTTCGTAACGACCATGACAGTGGTGGGCGACAAAAGCAAAGGAAATGGAAAAGGCATCGGCAATTGATAACACCAGACAACTGTTTAGGCTTATCAGGGAGACAGGTGGTAAGAGGCGAATGATAAGTGAAAGAATCTGTGAGAAAAATGCCACCATAATTAACTCCCAGGATAAACGACTAGGACGTTGGAAAGAACACTTTGAGGAGCAGTTTAATTGACCTACAGCCACTCTCAGCTTACGGAACATCCAACATCTCCCTGAATAGGATATAAACATAGGCCCTCCATCCCTAACTGAGGTTGCTAATGCTGTTGCTAGTCTGAAACGAATCAAAGCAGCTTGACCTGATGGATTGACTTCAGAGGTGCTCAAAGAAGGTGGAGACAGTTTACTGTCTGCACTAACTAAGGTATTAGGCGGTGTCTGGGAATCAGAGATAGTCCCGTCAGACTGATGTAAGTCATTGATTATCCGGATACACAAGAAGGGTGATAAGTCTTCCTTTGATAATCACAAAGGGATTAGCTTGACCGATATGGTACATGTAGTTCCAGGTTGAATAATAATGCGTAGACTAAGTGGTGTTCGGGAGAAACAGAGATGGGAAGGCCAGGGAGGCATTATACCAGGAAGAGCGGGCAATGATTATATCTTCATCCTTCGACAAATTCTGGAACATAGGCATACTCATTGGAGTCCAACAATCAGCATATTTCTTGACCTGAAAGCGGTATTCGATTCTGTTGACCGAGAGGTACTACGGCGATGTTTGGTTGTGGAGGAAATGCCGAGAAAATACATCGCAGTAATCAGGGCACTCTTCTCGAACTCATGCAGCCAGCTGAGAGCTCACGGCGAGTAGTCGTCTGAAGTGGTTTAAACTAGTGGTGTCCGTCAGGGATGCCCAGTGTCCCCACTTTTATTTAATTTTATCGTGGGTATGCTAATGGACTTAACCCTAGCTGCTGACTTCAGCGACTAATGGATTTACTTGTTACCAGAGACTAATCTCGTTGACTTAGAATTTGCAGATGATATAGTCCTCCTCCTAGGGGTGGTGAAGACGCTGACAAAATGCAGAGTCTTCTGAACACCGTAGGTAGCAATCTACGAGTGTTTTACATATGATTCGCTCTCGTCTAATGTAAGAAGATGGTGCAGGACTGGACTACATAATTTCCTAACATAGAAATAGGGAGTGAAGTGGTAGAGCACGTTGACCACTTCAGTCATCTTGGGAGTTGCATCAGCCCCAAGGAATTGATGGCTAACGAAATCTGAGCACGGATAGAGAAGGCTAATTTGACATATGCCAGTTTACGCCGTCTGTGGCGTAGACGTGATATCCGGCTGGCTGTCGACCGAAGGGCGTGTGTACTTTTTAGCAGTCCGCTCCGTCCTCCTTCATGGCTGTGAGACCTGGCCATTGAGACTGGAAGACATGAAAAGGGTGGCTAGCTGTCTTTTGATCATAGGTGTCTGCGTTCTGTCTCCCGTGTTAAGTGGTATAATAAGGTGAGCAATATTGAGGTTAGGCATCGGTGGAGTGCTAGGTAAGGAGGGGAAATCAATCAATGAGGTTGTGATGGTTAGGGCATGTATTACACATGTATGTCTAGCCACCGCCTTCATCGACAACGGACAATGTTAGCTTACATAGGGTGGATCAGGCTGGAAAAGAGCTAGTAGTAGTCAAAATAAAATATGGCTTCATCAATCAGTGAAATTCACAACAGTTAGTTTAAGCCAGTCAAGTAAGTAGGTGTAGACTGGCTTCCTGGTTGGGGTCCTCAGGACGGTAAACACCGATGATATGGTTCAAAATCGTTCTCAATGGCTGGCACAGATGCATCCACTCCTTATGGCTTATAATTTCCAATGAAACTACATTGTTCTTCGTTATTACTATTCATTTTGTCTCATATCCCTGTTTATTGTCTCTATTTTGCATTTCTTCTACTTTCTTCTCTTGCTTTGTGTGCTACATGGAGTGTGACGACTTGGACTGCTGCACATTGGTGCAAAGTTCGATGTTGAAACCGGTCAGTCAGTCTTTAGTATCTCTAAATGGCCGAATTATATACACCTTATCTTCAACGTCCCATTTGGATAGATCTTCCATGTTGTGCTACTTCTGGTCTTCACATTGTGTTTCTTTTTGTTGCTTTCACGTCTCCTGCGCTCCTCCGTAAGGCAGTATCATTTGCTTTCTCTTTACACCAGATCTATCTCCCTGCTATCTGATGTTTTGTGCCGATGAACATCTCTTTACATACATATACTACTGACAAACAGTGTGTTTCCTACCTACAAGCTTTCATTTTCTCTTGACGTGATCTCCTTAATACCATTCTCGGCCCCACACCCTACTCTTCTCTTCCCATTCAGACTCCACTTGTCACTCTGACGTGTTATGTCACCTGGTAAGAACCTAATATCAACATTTGATTGAAATGACACTGATTGGTAACGGTCTGCAGCATGGCAGCACTAAAATAATAATAATAAGTGGAAAATAATTTAACCAATATTTCTTTTTAAAACTGAAATTTCTGTTAATTCTTCTATTAATACTAATCTAATCGATTAGAATTCACATTATTGAACAAGCATTGCACGTATACAGAACTTTTGACAGGACACTTCAACCATTCATGGTGCTGGGAGATCTTCTATTGCCCCATGACCTACATAACCTGGTTGGTATCGATTCTGGGCTTATCATTTGTTCATTTCGAATATCAGTATGCATAAAATCCTCTAGTCTTCCTGTCTGATGAACAAACGAGCCTAGCATAAGCCGAAGTTACAGATAATTGGACAGGAAAAAGAAACTCACTGGAGTTCAACGGTGTGTTTGATAGCCATTAAGAATTACATAATTATATTTTCGTACCCCGTAAAACCCGATTTATCTCCGCCATTCAGTCTCACACAGGAATCAGTTATAACTTGGATATTGTTAGGTTTAAGTGACTCCTCTCTGACCTCAGACAGCACATAGACATGGGGCTTACTTCTTAAGCCGTTAACTTTCTACCAATGAGTCTCATATTTCAGCTCCACTCTACCTAGTTTAACTTGGGCAACTGGGTAGTGTGATCAACACAAACTAAGAGTAGCTATTAGTTTGGCACTAGACTCAAGTTTAAGGTTTCTTGTTAGGTAACTCCTAACTTTAAGAAAATTAAAATACCCATTTGAAAAATATAAACAATATTACTTTCTCTGTAGTAGCATTTTCTACGTAGAACATATCACTGCTGCGTTATAGTTCAAGTTTCAACAGTGGATATCAGTGCATCTTTGTAATGTATAAAAAATGGAAAAGATGAAATCACGGAAATATCCAATTTCATGAAACACTTGTCTGTCTGTCTGTTTTCAACAGAGAACATTGCACGGATGTGCAACAGTTCAAGTCATCACACTCATGCAGCACACAAAGCAAGAGAAGAAAGTAAAAAGAAATGCAAAATAGAGACAATAAACAGGGATATGAGACAAAAAGGAATAGTAATATCCAAGAACAATATAGTGTTATTGGAAATTATAAGTCACAAGGAGTGGATGCATCTGTGCCAGCGATTGAGAACGATTTTGAGCCATATCACCAATTGTCTCTATCCAGCTTTTGGTTTTTACCGTCTCGAGGACCCAAGCCAGTCACAAAGTCTACATCTTCTTACGTGGCTTAAACTAACTGTTGTGGATTTCATTGATTGATGAAGCCATGTCTTGGTTTGACCACTACCAGCTAACTCTTTTCCAACCTGATCCATCCTATGTCGGCTAACACTGCCTGTTGAGGAAGTTGATGCATAGGCATGCGTAACACATGTCCCAAGCATCTGAATCGATGTGACTTCAAACTTCCATGGTGTGAGCAGCCGGGAAGCAACAACCACCCACACACTTCTCACAGCGCACTTCTTGTGTCCGTTGATTTTGTCCATTGTGGTTTCAACACTTTTTTCTCCGCTTTCATGCCTGTTTTATTTAAGCATAGCAACTTGAACTGGTACACAATTTATACAAAGCTTTCCGTTAATTAGATCAGTCATCAAAGGATTTCTCTTTATTCCCTTTTGTGGATTTAAGATACTAAAGATATACCAAGACATTCGATTTGTCTTAAAAAACCTTGGAAAAGTGCTTCTATTAATTGTCTATTCAGGCACTTTATCTCTGAAGTTTTCGAATTCCCATTGTAACAGGCTTAAACTGAACTTTAATTCACTCCCAGAAGTTGTTATGCATGAATGCCAAAATTTTTGAGTTTATTTGTGTTTGCTACAAGTTTATAGTGTTTTTTTTGTCCTGTTTACTGACTCACGCATTCATTACTTTTCGCTTACTATTATGATCAATAAAAGTCAATATTCTCTCTGTTTTAAAAAAAATGAAGGTACTTAATTCGCTTCTGAATCTCAAGATGACCTATTCAAACTCAACAGGGTCAACGCTATGCTCAGACTTAGCTTTAGAAGGTGAACGATTTTATCGTGATGGTGATTTTAACAAGGGGATATCGTGTTTTCTTAAAGCACTAGCCGTTGGAACAGATGATCTCAATTGTTTATCCGTTATCTATTGTCAGTTAGGCAATGCATACTTCAATCTACAAGATTATGCCAGAGCTTTGGAATATCATCGATGGAATTTTGCTCTAGCAAGGTAATCATCTGTTGATGTTTATTTATTTATTTACTTATAAAGCATATTTATGCTTATTATTTTTCTGTACAAATGATAGTCGTTAGAGGAATGTAAACTGTGAGAAAGTTTTGACACACCCAACATTTAATATGTTCTGTTCACGCATGTTTTACCAGCTCTGATAAATTTCTTTTCTGTTGCAAAGGGACTAAATAGAAACCTTGAAATTATCGAAAAATTAGTTTTTCTACTAAGAAAACCGAGCAGAAAATAATAAAGTGTGACAAACATGTGAACAAACGTGAGAAATTTGAACAGCAAAATCTTCGAATAATAAGCATGGAAACTTTTTTCTCTAAAATTAGAATAAATAAATAAATATAAATAAAGGCATTTCACTTCCTTTACTAATTAATTTTTATTTACACGTAGAAAATTTCAATCAACTGCGATTTTTTGTTTGAACACGAGTCAGTAACTAGTGTAATATGTCTGTGTGTGTGTGTCTAGTCCTATCTTCGGTAGCGACTGAAATCTATCAGTCAAGTTGGCAATGTGTCGCCATCGCGGTGCACCGTGGATTGTTGGTATTAAACGGTTGGAAGCAGTCGGCCGCAGGAAGCTTTTCGACCTAGGTTTCGCGCTAGTTGGTACTCACTAGTCAGCTAGGCGTGTCTGCAACCTTGAAGAAGCTCATATCCCTTCCGAGATTCGAACCCGCGTCACCCAGTGCTGCAGTCGGAGACGTTACGACTAAGGTATTCGGACTAGCGACTGACCTCCTGTAGTACTGTACTGGATACGTTGATTGGCCACTAGTCAGTAACTGGTGCAATGTGTGTGTGTGCCAACTAGCACGAAACATACATCCAAGGCTTCCTGCCATTCGCCTCCAACCATCTAATACCGACAAGTCACGGTGTACCTTGATGGCGAGCCACCTAGAATGGTAACCACATCGCAAACCATACTGGTAGAATTCATTCTGCACTGAAAGTAGGACTGGACACATTACACCAGTTACTGACTAGTGTCTAATCAGAGTATCCGGTACAGTCCTACAGGAGGTTGATCGCTAGCCCGAGTACCTCAGTTGTAACGTCTCTAACTGCAGCACTCACTGGGTGACGCGGGTTTGAATCTCAGAAAGGGCATGAGTTTCTTCAAGGTTTCAGACATGCCTTGCTGATGAGTACCAACTAGCACGAAACCTAAGTCGAAGGCTTCCTGTGATCGATTGCCTCCAACCATCTAATAACTGCGATTTTATTGATTGTTTATATTTGTAATTAGTAATAGCAGAATATTAGCCAACTGAACTATCCCGCCGAATTGACAAAAGCCAGATGTTCGTAATCAACAGAATGATTTGTGGTGTTTATTTGCAGAGTAAATACAGCTAGCCATCACAATAATACGACTCTCCTAATCTGTGTGGCAAACCATATGCCACATTTATATATGCGCTAAGGGTAATATACAGAGCTGCTCAGAAGTTGCTAGATGAAACGACTTTTGAAACAATGACTTATTAGTTGAAAGCTGAATGCTTTAACCTAATAAGCCGATAGATAAAATGACATATTGCAGCTGTTGAAGTGAAGCCGATAAGGATGAAAATTGATTCATGGGATAAGCAGCTATCACTTGCTCAGCATTTTATTGGCTTTAAACTGAGAAACTGGGATATTATCAATTTTTGAAGTTATAGGGCATCATATCGAAAGCATACATACATAAGTATGTTTACTCTGGTCTGGAAAGCGGATTGGTAAGTCCAGAAATCTGTTACTGGCCTTTCATACAAGAATTCCGTTTTATAAATTTGAGCAAAGGAAGAACAAACATTGTTGCAAAATAACGTGGATCCACTTTATTTTGTCATTTCTCATCAGCTTCGTACAGCCTATAATCTTTAATAAAATAAGTCAGTGTACAGTTTGAACATACTCTTTATAGCTGATAAGAACCAACGAAATAAAAGGCATCCATATTATTAAGCACCAATGTTTGTTCTTCCTTTGTTCATATAATTTTTTCGTACTAATGAAATTAGTTTGTCATTATACAGAGAGAAACCCACAAGACTACACCAGCTGCTTTTATTGGTAATTTAGCCAAACAGTATCCGTGTGTAGCATTAAATTTATGTACAATGCTGTTTTATTTATAGGAGAATGGGTGACAGCGTTGCTGAAGTTTGCGCAACTGGTAATCTGGGCAATACACTTCAAATGTTAGGGAAATATGAAGAAGCAATAATGTGTTTCACGCATGAACTAGAGATTGCTAAACAATTAAACGATAAAGTAGGTTTTCTGCATAAATAAGTTTGGCTTTTCATATATTTTTCTTATCTGTAGAATCAAAATGTGTGAATTTCTATTATATTCTTTTATAAATATAAAATGATTATGTCTGTCCATATTCAAGTGTTGGTTTGTAGGCATTTGATTGGTAACAGGATTTCATCATGAGCTGACATTGGTTAGAGAACCATGAGGAACTCTGGGAGTCCTGGACAGCCGTTTCGTCGTAGCTCGGCACTCTTCATCAGTACGCACCCACCGGGGTTCGGACTCAGGACCATCGGGTTGCGAGGCGAGCTCGTGGACTATTAAGCCACTGGGACCCGGACCCGATCTGGTGGCCAGCCAATGAGTTTTAACTTCTGTCAATTGACGACATAGCGCGACTTGTCCTACTCAGGTAGGAAGTTCCCTGGGGTTCTAGTGAGAAGTCGTGACCAGTAGGGTGCAGGAGGTTGGGTGTGAGGACAAATACTCGCCGAAGACATTGGCTAGTGGTCGCGCTATGCCGTGAATTAGCAGAAGTTAGAATTCATCGGCTGGCCACCGGATTGGGTCCCAGTGGCTTAATGGTATACGAGGTGCTGGGTTCGAACGGCGGTGGGAGCGTATTGCTGAAGGGTCCCAAACTAGGACGAAATAGCTGTCCAGTACTCCCAGGTTTTCCAATGGTTCTCCAACCAATGTCAGCTCATGATTAAATCCTGTAACGTTTGTCTGTCCACTTGTCTTATTTCTAACACTTCAGTATTATACTCTATAAAAATAGGTAGAGCAGTGATGTTAAAAAAGTTGTCGAAGCTAATAACGATGATTATAATGATAATAAGGTTTATGCAGGTGGCGATAAGAATAACGAAGGTAGTTAGTGATATTGTAGACGATTCAATAAATAAATTAGGTCAACTCCCCAAAGTTACGTAATACTAGGGGTGAAGTGGAGAGATAATCAGATTTTATTAAGTATTGGTTTGTTGTAGGGATTTTGTTTGATTGCATGGATGTCAGCTCATGATCAAATCCTCCATGCAATCAGATTTTAAATAAATATCATAAAAGTACGAAGGAGATGGAGAATAGGAAAGGGTGGGAGACTTTTTTAAAATTAGAATTTACCTAGGCCAAAGGAGAGACTACTTTTGTCTGCGAAGACTACGATTGTTCTCTCGAATTCCCATACCTTGGGATGGTTTGATTTCCGTTCAAAGTTATTTATTAACTTTAAAGGCACTTCTTTTATCCACTTGGTAACCGCTATCAATCAAATGAGACGAAGTAGAACTTCTTATGGATTTTTTTATAGATTTTTTTACACAGCTGAAGCTATGGGAATCCGAGAGAAAAATCGTAGTCTTTATATATAAAATAGTACTATTTGTGTGACAAACGTACTAGGCTGAAATCGATTACAAAATATTGTAAAATAGGAGACAATGGTGGTGATTAGTCATAGTCGATTTGTAGAGTGTGGGGTAGGAAAAAACTGACTAGTCAGTTCAAGGTTATAAAAGGTGTCAGGTGAGTGGCTAGTACAAAGTGGTATGTACTAAACAGACAGTAAGACTGCAGTGAGAGGTTCATAATGAAATAACAAATGCGCTAAATGAAACAGCTGGAGGCGTATATTGAGAAAAGAGATAATATCACTAATATTAAGTCCGGATAGTATAAATGGAAAATTCGATAGTATTGAGAGAATGTTTGAGTGAAGGGCATAAATTTTGACGAGTCGTAATAATAATTGTAATAATAAGCAAAGAGAAAAAATACCAAGAAAGTTAAGGGGAAGAAGCACTCTTGGTGAGAAGTAGTATCATCAATCCAAGTTTGGCCATGATAGGAACAGCGTCTGGACGTGTTCTTTTTGGATACAAAGTTCCGGTTTAGTCGATCTTATTGCAACAGCTTCAGCTATGTCTAGGAGACTATTTATTTTGGCATCCCATAACTAACCTGTTATTCTACGTTAAAAAATGTATCCGTCGCTTAACTGGTCACTATTGTAACGCCAATAAATATTATATTTTATAATTGTAAGAACCTGAAAAGAAATTATTGAAAAGAATATTTATGATATTTGTTTAAACTCTGATTATCTTTCCACTTCACCCCTAGTGTTACGTAACTCTTGAGAGTTGACGTAATTTATTTACTGAATTGTCTACATATGCACACACTCATAGAAAATTCCCGTTGGGATATATAGAATCACTTGTTTTCATTTTCTATATCCACATATTACTACATTCGTTATTCTTATTGCCACCTGCATAAACCTTATTGTTATTTGATGCACAAACTCTCCGTCATTGGTCAAAATTTTATACATAAAGCTGTGTAAATCAGGGTAAAGCTTGAAGATATGATTGAAAACAACAATATTATTCACTTGTATATATCTTTTTCTAATATTGATAACGGGAATATTTAAAGATTTTAAACTATGTCTAGTGACAGCAGTGCTATGCAGCTGAATCCTTTCGATATCGATCTAGAAGTCGAATTTTTATCGCTGTCTTGAGAACTCTCCACATTCGATGCATATCACTGATTATTTCAGCATAACAGGCAATATTTATTTCACTATTGTAATCTTCCAACAAATCATCGGTACTATTTCTTCAGTCATAAATTAGTTAAGAGTGTATCATAATATTATCACAACGGCTTAAGTAGGAAACGAAAGTTGAGGTGTAGGAGTCACCGTTCATTTACGGAGTGCTGCATGCAGTCACCAATCACTCTTTGAAAAGTAAAAAGTCTTCTTATTCTCAGTCAAATATTCCACTGTTTACACTGTTCTGATTTTGAGTAGATGCAGGTAACCTTAGCACATTCCCTACTCTTTATTATAAACCTATCCGGAGAGCTATTTTTTTCCCCACTCATACGAATAAAACTTATTATCTTTGGTGATTCAAAGCTACATTCAATTACACACACCAAGCACACTTTCTACTTCATTTTGGTCCTTCTGTTTTTTTGATGTTAGTATACTTTCTGTATAAACTTTATAGTTAGACTGAGTAAAATTCATTTCACATAGTAATCTTACTTTTATTTACTTCTAACAGACTCCCCACCTCCCACCCATGTTTTCTGACAGTCAATTTAGGGGCATATTTATGCATAATTATTAGATTGTTGGGAACAGTTGGCAAGATGTCCCAGACATAGATTTTGTACTTATGGGCACTCATCAGCAAGGTGTATCTTTATCCTCTCAAGAATTGATGTTCTGTTGGAGATTCGAACCCACCTCATCAAGTGTTGCTGTCACAGACATTACATTTGAGCTATTGAACCCAGAGATTGATATCACATATTTTGAACTGTACTTTAATCGTATAAACCTGTCTGATATGCAACTCTCAGATTCTTTGGTCGTAACGACCTGTGGTTATGAAAAAAACCCAACTATATTAACTACAACTGGTTCTTATCTTTTTAAAGTCAGTTTTTTTTTCCACATACAACCATAGTGCCCAAGTTTTACACATATATTAATCAGTATTGTTCTCCCCATTAATTGATTAGACTAAAATGTTAGACTTCTGTCGACATGTCTGTTTCTAGTAGGGACAATTCGACTATGTCTGAGGATAAACATGATGTTATTTGGTAGGACGGTGACTAGCAGTAGGGTCATGGATATATATTTTGTCCTATTTGTGATTGGTCAGCTGGTTACATACCTTCAATTCCTAGTGAGTGATAGTGTTCTCACTGAGACTCAAGCGCACAGTACCCGGCGTTTCAAACGCAAAAGCACCTTTAACCAGTATGGACAGATAACAGTAGAAATAAGTGCTGAAATTGTCTGTGGTTTTCAAATTAATATGTGTGGTCCTTATGATACTATTGGATAGTTGCTCAGTTCCACATGAAAGAAGTAGGACTTGATCTTTGAGCTACATTCTTGCATTTTTACTTGCACAAATACATCAGTAATTACAAGACAAAAATCTCTTATGGTTTTCATATGTTTTCATTGACATTTTCTTAAAAGTAGGATAAGCTAGGCAGATTTTGTTTGCACATTTTATCTTGTGTCTGATGATGACACTACCTGCTAGTCTAAACTTCTTTTATCGATACGAAGTTTGAAGCTGTGACCCTCTGATTGGTAATGGAGTACTGGTTTTTTTTATCGTCCAGTCAACATTGTGAATGTCTTAGTCATCTCAAAGTAGTTTTTTTTACTATAGACGAGTTCATTATTTACAACCTGGGTTATATGCAACTAATTTACTTCCCAAATCCTTCAAATCTTTTGGTACTTCATATTTTTCTAGAGCAGTGAAGCTGGAGCCTTATACAATTTGGGTAATGTTTATCAAGCTAAAGGGAAACACTGGTTACCTGATACTGGTGAATATCCTGTGGATGCGGTTATTGCACAAAAGAAGGCTGCTGAATATTACAAGTATGTCCTATATATATGTATTTTTTAGATGTTTATGTACATATTACTTATAACAGCTGCAGTAGTCTGCGATTAACTTGGAATAACGTTTTATTTTGGAAAACAGAGCTGACTTTATTAACACCAGACAGCTTGTGTCAGCAAATGTTTGCACGGTGTATTCAATTTTTGTAAATTTTCACACACTCACCTGTTTTCAACGCTTTCTCAATGCAGTTGAGTGAAGGGGATGTTGTTCACACTAAACCGTTTTATATTTAATTGAATTTCAGATTTTCCCGTCGATTGATTAGACCGAAGTGCTCGGTCTCAGGTTGACATGTCGCCTTCTTGTGCAGATGCTTCGACGATGTCTGGGCTGTTTTAATTAGTACTTAATTGTTGGATTGTGACTAGCAGTGGAATCCAGGATAACGCGCATTTCGTCCTATTTGGGACTCGTTATAGTTACAACTAACAGATTTGTCCATTAACTTACCAAGAAAATATGTTCTGGTATGTGTCAGTAAGATGACTGTGGAACTGAGTAACTATATGATACTAGAAGTAAAAAAAGCTTTATTACTATCGAATGTGGTAATGACGCCTAAAGTTTGTGAAAAAGTGGTGCCATTAACATTCTTAATAAACAGGTAGGAAGTTGTATACTCATATAAAAGGTACTAATGGAAGTCATAGTGAAATTGATAATAAACGGTATGTCTACTAAGAAGAAGAAGAGGAATTTTCTAGGTAATTGGGAAAGAGATTAAGATAACAGCAAAGTAGTAAGGAATTGGGTGTGCCATTTTTGTCCATATATGTATACATATATCTAAGGTGTGTAACTGTTTGATTGTCAAAGCCCTTGTTATACACATATTCTGCCTCCGAACTTCTTTTCAGACATTATGTATATAACTATGCCAAATTCTAGCTAGTGATCACAGGACAGTGACTACCCAAATATTAGATGCTTGGATTAGTGGAAAGTTTTTAGAATTGCAAGGCTGATAAAGTCAAGATATCCGTGTCATGTCTGACTGACTGAGTTTCAACGTAGGACTTCTCATAGAAGTGTATCAGCTGAAGTTGACACACTCTATGTAGCACATAATTGTAGACAAGTGAAATAAAGGGATTCCAAAGAAGTGTAATGAGTAGAAATGTACAGGAGAAGAAATAGCAACATAGAAGAGCATGAAGACTACAGAGTATATGCATCTGTGCCGTTTGGAAATGATTTTTAACCATATAACCATTAGTCTCCAACCACGTTGACTGCTTCACTTATTTAGGAAGTACCATCAGCCACAATGGGTTGATCTCTGACGAAATCTCAGCGCAGATACAGAAGGCTTGTTTCGCATATACCAGTTTACGCCGTCTGTGGCGTAGACGTGATATCCGGCTGGCTGTCGACCGAAGGGCGTGTGTACTGCTCAGCAGTCCGCTCCGTCCTCCTTTATGGCCAACTGGGAGACCTGAACATTGAGAGTGGAAGACATGAAAAGACTGGCTAGTTGACTTTGGTCATAGGTGCCTGCATTCCATCTCCCATGTGAAATGGTATAATAGGGTGAGCAATACTGAGGTTAGGCGTCGGTCGAGTACTAAGTAAAGAGGGGAAATCAATAGACAAGGCTGTGAAGTTACATCGAGTGAGATAGTTCGGACATGTGTTACACATGCCTAGCCATCGCCTTCCTCAACGGGAAATGTTAACTGACATAGGATGGATCAGGTTGGAAAAGAGTTAGCTAATGGTGGTCAAAGCAAAACGTGGCTTCATCAGTCAATGAAATCCACAACAGTTAGTTTAAGCCACGTAAGAAGATGTAGACTTTGTGACTGGCTTGGGTCCTCGAGACGGTAAAAACCAAAAGCTGGATAGAGACAATTGGTGATATGGCTCAAAATCGTTCTGAATGGCTGGTGCAGATGCATCCACTCCTTGTGACCTATGATTTCCAATGAAACTATATTGTTCTTCGATGTTACTATTCCTTTGTCTCACACCTCTGTTTACTGTCTCTATTACGCATTTCTTCTACTTTTTTCTCTTGCTTTGTGTGCTACAAGGAGGGAGTGTGGTGACTTGAAGTGCTGCACATCGGTGCAAAGTTCTGTGTCGAAAACAGATAGAGACCGACAGTCTCCAACCACCACCACCACTTGATCTTGGCATCCTGAGGTTCCCAACCAGGCAGTCTTTATCCACTTGCCTACATGGCTTATGTCATATCTAAAAGTTGAATTCAGTTAACAAAATCTGCACTTAGTGATTTCTAATATCTTGAGGACTTTAACCAGGCAACACAAACTTGTTTCTCCACTTGATTTGTACGAACAATCAGACTTCATAGACTAATGTCATATTTTGATCTGCTTACCACTAACTTTTTTCCACCTTTCTCTTCAGGTAACACTACTTTTAATGAAAGATGTCGGCTTAGCGGGTAGTATAACACAGGTCTCATTCATCTAGTAGACTAAGGTAATACAAGTGTGCAGGTTTAATTATGGGTAACTCGGAATTTCAAGGATAACAGTATCTAATCTTCATTATATAATATACTCTTCAAAAGATGTTCAGTTAAAAAAAGTAATAAAACTTGACCTGATATAAATTTGAAGTAGTCCGTTATTCTTAAAATAGTGACTTCTTGTATAAACACACGAGTTCTTTAACTGACTAAAATAATTTAATCAAATAGATCAAATATAACATCGGGATTAATTTTATGTCTTAAGTAGCTGAAGGTTTACAGTTAGTCGTAATTGACAATTTTATGATTTTATCAATTTATGACATTGTTTCAGAGAGGATTGTGGCTCATTCGCTTAAGTACCAAGCAGTTTTAGCTAGTGGTTTTCGGGTTTGAGTACTACTTCACCTTCGGCAATTGAATAATATCATCAGTCTTCATACAGCAAATATGACTCCTAACTCATTCCGAGTAATTGAGTTCGAAGCATATTGGGATAAAATAACTCGATCTGTATTAAATTATCGGCTGGGAATGAGCCTATGTCTGGGGCGCTGGTAGATAGAAGTGTACAACTCTGGAAAATGACTCGTCAAAAGAATCTTGTTTCTATGAGAATGAGTGAAGTGTAGTTGACATTGTGATTGTTACCAATTTTTGATGTTATGTTACTACTAAGCCTACACTATGATATTTCATGTATATATACCTTTGGTTTCGGGCCATGGAAGTGTTTGTTCAGAACTATTTCTAGAACATTCTGTTTGCCTTTAAGATAGAAAAGACTCGCTGAAGAACGCCCCCCTCCCTACCTTCTGTAGCATGCACTTAGCTGATTTGTTAAATTTAATGTTATCTAATGTATATTAAAATGAAGTTAGCATCATTCGTGTATCTAATGCTAAACACTTCCTTCTTTTTACTTATTTATTCATTCATTCATTTGTTCATTGCATAGTGTTTTGATAAGTCTAAGAAAATTCATTCTTAGTTTTTCTTTCTTATTGTAGAATGAATCTTGAGTTGGTTCGAGCACTTGGTGAACGACCAGCAGAAGGTCGATCACTTGGTAGTTTGGCGAATATTTATTATTTAATGAGTAATTTTAATGAAGCGATTGAATGCTATGAAGCAGTAAGTATCAGTTCCCTTCCTCTCTCTCTCTCTCTCTCTTTATATATATATATATATATATATATATATATATTTATATAATGAAAAAGGTCCTGTGGAGAAATTTCACCATAGTCAGATGAGATATTCGCTTATATGCCTCTTTTAAGCATTAAGATAAGGCATAAATAAACTGATGAATCGATGCAAGCATCTTTTGCATTGTGGTCAGTTTCGTAGTCCACTTCATCTGTGGTGATTGAAGTGAAGATTTCGACAACTGTTTTATCTGCCTTTATTTACAAAATCATATTTTTTATGCATAGGTTAGTATGTTACAGTTTGTGTATTATTAAGCGGAATTAATAATGATATCGGTCACGATAACTCACGAGTTTTAAGTTGTCGATCAAAACAAAAAAGTATATCCTACCGAAGGTCACTGTAATGTAAAGTAAGCACCATCATTCCTTTATGAAAAAAAGTGCATTATCAAAAGTCTAGGCTAAGTTATTTGATTCATGAACTATACCGACGTATGCTAATTGTCCCTAACATTTTCACTCATAGTCAAAATTGTAACACAAAAAAACTACACACACAGTTTTGTTATCATATATCTGTCTGTCTGTCTGTCTGTTTTCGACATAAAACTTTGCACAAATGTGCGGAAGTTCAAGTCGCAACACTCCGTGTAGCACGCGAAGCAAGAGAAGAAAGCATAAGAAAAGCATAATAGAAACAGTGAGCAGAGGGGTGAGACAAAGGAGGAGTAATAACGAAGAACAAAACAGTTTCATTGGAGATCATAAGTCACAAGGAGTGGGTGCATCTGCGCCACTGAGAACGATTTTGAGCCGTGTCACCAATTGTTTCCAACCATAGATTTTTACCGTCCCGAGAACCCCAGCCTGGAAGTCTACACCTTCCTACGTGGCTTAGACCAACTGTTGTGGATTTCATTGACTGATGCCAAGTTTTTGTTTGACCGCCGCTAGCTTTATTCCAGCCTGACCCTATATCCGCTAACATAGCTCGTCGAGGGAGGCGATGGCTTGGCATACGTAACACATGTCCTAACCATCTCAGTCTTTGTAACTTCACGACTTCGTCGATTGATTTCCCCTGTTTACCTAGAACTCTACGCCTAACCTCAATGTTGCTCACCTTGTTATGCCACTTTACACGGGAAATAGAGCGCAGGCACCTATGATCAAAGTCAACTAGCCAGTCTTTTCATGTCTTCCACTCTCAGTGGCCAGGTCTCACTCACAGGCACGAAGGAGGACGGAGCGGACTGATGAGCAGTACACCCGCCCTTTGGTCGATAGTCGAACATCTCGTCTACGCCAGAGTCGGCGTAAACTGGCAAATGCGAAACGAGCCCCTTGTATTCGTGCTGAGATTTCTTCAGAGATCAACCCGTTGTCACTGGCTGATGGTACTTCCCAAATAAGTGAAGCGGTCAACGTGCTCTACCACTTCACTTCCTATTTTTAAACTAGGCGTCGATGTAGTCCAGTCCTGTAACATCATCTTGCATTTGGCGGGAGAGAATCGCATGCCAAACATTCGTAGATTGCGGCTCAGTGTGTTCAGAAGACTCTGCATTTTGTCAGAGTCTTCGCCTAGAAGGACTATATCGTCTGCATATTCTAAGTCAACGAGATTATTCCCCGGTAGCAAGTCAATCCCTGAGTCGCTGAAGTCACCTAGGGTTAAGTCCATTAACACATCTATGATGAAGTTGAATAGAAAAGGAGATAATGGGCATTCATATATCCTCACTTATATATGAATATGTGTGTGTGTGTAATAATTGCTAAGAAGAGTATTTTCCTTCTGAAATCTTGGTTTCCTGTCTCTACAGGTGTTATTCATTTTCTTATGATATGTAAATGACTCTGTAGGGAGATTCTAATGAAACAGAGTGATATAAACGTAACCAGTAGATAGGTCGGATGAGATACTGTTTGGAATATTCCTTCGATTGGACACTAGTAACTAGTGTTATGTGCATACTGTGAATTCTATCAGTCAGGCTGTAATGTGGCCATCATTCTAGGTAGCACGCCATCACGGTGCACATTACTTTGATGATATCAGGTAGTTGGAGGCAATCGGCCACAGGAAGCCTTGCTTGACCTAGGTTTCGTGCCAGTTGGCACTCACCAGTCAGTCAGCAAGGCGTATCTGCAACCTTGAAGGAACTCAGGTCGCTTCTGAGATTCGAACCCGCATCACCCAGTACTTCAGTCAGAGACTGAGCTATTCGGGTTCGCGATCGCCAACAGAACAGAACAATTTGAACATAAGTTGCTTATTTTTTAGTTACCACACTTACAGTATAATTCATTCACGATCTCTAAGTAGCTTACTTAATAACTCACCACAAAATGGGTACAGCTAGTGAGGGAATTGAGTAGGACTCTTAACATTCCTTTGTTCAACTTACAGTGCTTAGCATTCAATATTTACTAACTGAAAAATACTGAAAGAGTTATTCGGTATGATCGATCGTTAATCAGATGGAAAATTTCATCCAAAGTATCATAATGTGGCCATCATTCTAGGTAGCTTGCCATCATGGTGCACATTGATTTGATAATATTAGATGGCTTAAGGCAATCGGTAGGAAGCCTTCGACCTAGGTTTCGTGTTAGTTGGCACTTAGTAGTCCCTTCTGAGATTCGAACCCGCTTCACCCGGTGCTACTGACGAGTGCCAACCAGCATGAGACCTAGGTCGAAGGCTTCCTGCCGATCGCCTCCAACCACCTAATGTGATGTTTGGAATATTGCCCAAAACGGACATGTTTGGAGTGGTTCATTGTCTTTTCTAAATAAAAATATTACCCTTTTAGGAACTATAAAAAATTTTTCTTGCAATTATCATAGTCTTATATATTTTTACCTGAGGATATTGAAGATTATTCGTAATTTTGATTCATCTTTTTTTTTCTCAGGATATTTTTTTAACTCCTCCATCCATTAGGTGGTATCTCTACAAATTCCTACGGCTCCTAAACATCATTCTTATTATTTTCTTAAATTATTTATTATTTCATTCCTTTGGGATCTTAATTTTTGTGTTATCTTTTATTCTTTAGCGTTTAAAAATTGCCAAAGAATACGGAGATTTAGTTGCCCAAAGACGTGCTCATAGTAATATTGGCAATACATATATATTTTTAGCTGATTTTAACTCAGCTGTAGAACATTATCGGTAAGATTTTCTGTATTGTGTATAACGTGAATGTGTGTGTGTGTGTGTGTGTGTGACTACTCCGAAAATTCCTCAGCAGGTCTAGTCTACTCACGCTTGATTGAGTTTTAATGATGTTTTATTAAGAGGTGTATCGAAAATGCTTACTGTTTTTCTCGTCTTTTAATGTGTTTACTAGATGTGTAGGAGAAATACTGAAATTCACATAAAACAGACGACTAGTTTGAAAAGCCTTTAAATATTTACTAACACTGAGACAATTCACCTTTGTACAATGTCTATGCGATTATTTAGTTGAAATTAGTATGTGTTGGTCAAATAACGAGATATGCGTCGTTGGCGGTACAGTGGTTAGAGGACTGTCACCGGCCGTGCACATGGTCTGAGGTTCGATCGCCTGCCGACGCACACTCGATATCAATGGTCGGCCTGCGAAATTTCGGCTACCGATATCACATGCTAGAAATTCCATATTTGTACCAAAAATACGGTGTGAAATCAAGCTGTAATTAAAAAATATGTACTTCAATGGTCTGTTCTGCTTTATTTTGATGTGATAGGAAGAGATGGGCGTTAACTGACCGACCAGTGTTCCTGTGGTTCTTTCAAATAGGGTCTAGCTATCACAGTATACGATTAGCTGACATGAATAAATGGTTCTTGATGACATTTGACAAAGATATATGTATATTACTGAGAAATAACTCTTTTGTCTTCTATCGTTTCACAACTATTTCAGCTCGAACAAATCAATAATATTATGTGGTGACACACACACACACTCAATGTAGGTCTCACATCTTTGTGCATAAATGTGTTGAGTTGTAGGTAACTGGTAGAGGAAGTGGTTGATACTCAGATATTTTAACATTTCAAAGTGTATACACCGCTGACTGTTGATGCTACTCAGCAAATATCTATGTGTTACAAAACAGACCATGTTGAGAAAACTTTACAAAATTAGCGACCTGTCACTTTATTACTTTTTTACCTGATTATTACTCCTCTGTAGTGCTTAAAATAACGTGAAGAGTGGTAAAATAATGCCTTCTCTTATGCTTTTAGTGCTTTGAAGAAGCACTACGAAGCAGAAAGAATTGAATGAAGCAATCCAAATAAGAAAGGCTTTAATAGGAGTGGAGCACTAAAATGTATAATTATAAGTGTAATATTTAGGGGAAATGAAGTCAGTAAGTATTAAAGACATTTAGGTTAATTATCGGTACGTCCGTCCAAGTTTTTAAGTAATTGATTTCTGTCATTGTGAAAGTGCTGATCAAAAACACTATGGTTGAGTTTTGCTTTTCAACCGATCTAATCAGTGTGATTTCCATACTACACAGACTCGAACATTTGGGTAAGCGATTGTGTATAATATTATCTTTTACCATCTTTTCTGATGTACTTGTCTATATTGGCTCAGAGTGTCACCTTTTTCACTGGAAAACATCTTCAAGAAGAGAAATCGAACATCATATAGCATAATCACAACGTCTTAGAAGAAACTCTGAGGAAACGATATGAAAAGTTACGATTTAGGCGATAATGAGGTACAAATGTATTGGCACCATTTTGATTGGCTTTTTGCCCTTATCATTTATAGCCTAGTCACCCAGATTCTGACTAAAGAAGTCTGTCCATCCCTACACAGATCAAACAGACGGTTAAATTCTATGGATTAGTGGTAGTTTTACCCTTCTCTCTCACTGTACATCAGTTTATTCAGAATGTCGACGAATTTTAAAATTGAATATTCCCATAATTGATTCAGAACAAAATGTGTAGTGCGAACAATTGTTCAGGCTCTACAGTTATAAATCCATTAATTTAAGCATACAATAGCCAGTAAAGGCAAATTAGAGTCATATCAGAAGGTGTATTGTGGAACAAGTATAAGACGGATATCTCAAAAGGAAATTATTTAGAAAGAAAACTTGGATGGGTCAGTACACCCATTTTCATAGCTTCACACCGATTCAATACTAAAGAAACTTAGTTAAGTGTCTTAGCTATAGAATAAAACGCATATGCTCAGAGGAATGCATTAAGGAAGAAATGTATACACTGAAACACTGAAAGAAAATAGATATCCAGCGAACTTCTCAAAAAAGTGTATGTCAATCACCTAGAGCCAGGGTAAAGGTGGATACCTTAGACAAGAAACCTTTGTATCTTTAGTTAAGTTACAAAGGGGAAATTGCAACTGACATTCTAAAATGTCGACTTAATAGAGCAGTAGATAGAACATTTCCTGCAGCTAAACTGGTACTCAAATTCTCAACTAAACCAGTACTCACACAAAAAGTCAAGGATAACTTACCAAAGATGGTCTCATCAATGTGTATCTATGAATTCGACTGCTCATGTGGAGCTAGTTACATTGGTCATACTCAGAGGGTTTTATTCGTGCGCGTGCGTGAATATGTACCTGTATGGTTGAGTAAAGGGAAAACCAAATGCGTTAATAGTGCAGTCTTAGCTTACTTGGTAGATACTGTCTGTGTGCATTTCGGATTGTGAGGGCGATTGTTACTTCCCGGCTGCCCACACCGTGGAAGTAGATACTGGATACTGGTAGATACTGGACACTCGATAAAACTTGACCAGGCGTTCTCGGTTATTTACTGCGTTGCTAGTAATCTATCTAAAAGAGCTCGACTACGTCTTCTATCAGTAGCTGAGGCGGTTGCAATTAATACCAGAAGATCAACTCTTTGTATATAGAAGTATGTTCAACCCCTATGTTTACCTTGTCCTACAGTAAAGCCAGCAAATCCTCCATAAGCATTAGCTCTATAAATTCCTATCACAATTTTCTTTTCTTTTTTTATTCTTTTGTTTCATTGGCAAACATTCATTTCCGACTTTTATGATTTCATGACCTTTCTTATGATTTCCATTACCTTAGGTTTAAGTAGTGCTTTTCTAACTTGCTATCGTATTTAAAAAATCCTGTTCATTCCGCTTCATTATATTCATTATTATTATTTGACAATCATTCACCAATAGTGCTTGTAATTTTACACCATATCATCGTTATTATTTTACAATCATTCTTATTGTCGTTATTTTCAACCTTGAACTTATGTCTAGACCTCCCCATTCATTGGTTTATTTTCATATTGCCTCACACACCCTGATTACACTCACTCTTGAAACCTGTATTTTCTGTTAACTATATTTATATATACACACATCATTAAATTAAATTATTTCATCTCATTCTGTCCCATGTTCTCATTGACCATACATATTAAAAAAAACAACTGACTATTGTTCCATCCCATCTTATCCTTGTTCCACAATACACTTTGTGATATGACTCTAATTTGCCTTTACTGGCTATTGTATACTTAAATTAATGGATTTATAACTATAGAGCCTGAACAATTGAAGATACTGAAAGTCAATAGATATATCATGTTTTACTGTGATGTAGAGGCACAATAGGTGTTTAAATATTCCTGCATTCCAACAAGTACTGTGGGTTGTTCTGTAAAAAGTAACAGAAATTAACATTGTAACGAGTGAATATGTTGCTCTTTAGTTTTTTTTAAAGGCCACCATACCTAATTAGTATCTCTGTATCATCACTTATCACTGTTTTATATTCATCTTTCTTTTTAGAGAAGCCCTACAGTTATCAATCTGTTTAAAGGATGCATCACTTCAAGCACAGGCTTGCTTTAGTCTTGGAAATACCTACATTCTGCTAAGAGATCCAGCTACTGCAGTTGTATTCCTAATTAGACATTTAATTATTGCTCGTAGTTTGGCTGATCGTATTGGTGAAGGTCGAGCTCATTGGTCATTGGCAACTGCATATACTGCTTTAAAAAGATATGATCTAGCATTACGCTGTTCTAGACGACATCGTCAAATAGCTTATGAAGTATGGTTTTTTTGTTGTTATATTGAATATGTATTCATCATCGTTGTGTGTGTGTGTTTGTAGCTGTGGTGGTATATTTCAAATTACAAGCTGATAGAAAAATAAGAGTTTTTGTGTACCAAACCATTCATATACTAAAGGTGGCTATCTAGAGTCTTACATCCTGAAACATAATGGGTTATCTTATCGACAATTAAAGTTCCTTTAATTCGATTTTATTGGAACGTGGAAGCATCATATTTAATTGTTTCGCACTAGTTATTTACTAAAATACAGGTTTCTATGTAGTGTGTAAATATATGTGGCTCATTGACCTGAGTAATTGACTTTCTATCAGTTGCTCCCTAGTTCGAGTCCTGTCAGCCTGGACACCCCCTAACCCATTAAGTGTGACTACCTAGCTGATTAGATGAAAAATCTGTCCTGGATAACTGGCTTTTAGCTTTATAAAGTATGCAACTTTTCTTGTTTCCACGTACACATACCAGTGAAATATAGTGTTGCACACACAATGATCCCTAAAGTGGTTTTTCATGTGAGAAGAATTGATGCTATTAACGATGAAAAATTTGCTCAAATTTTTGGGAATAAATCTCAAAGAGATTTATAATGATGGTTAAGACACGTGTTATACATTCGCAATCCTCTACCTTCCTCGTTGAGCAATGTTAACTGACATATGATTAGATTAGAAGAGAGTCGGGGGTGGTCGAACCAAAATCTTTGCTAGTTAGAACTAACCATTTATGAAGGTGTAGGCTGCTTGGTTCTGGTCTTATAGAGGCTTGTGACTACTGATAATCTGGCTCATAGTCGTTCTGTATGGCACATTAATGCATTCATTGTTGCAATCGCCCAGAATCATTAAGTTCTTATGTTTATCCATGTAACTATTTCTTTTGCTTAAGCAGTGTGGCAAGTTGGACTGCTGCACTTCTGTGCCAAGTTCTACATTGAAACTCAGCTTATCTCACTCTCCCTTTATGAATATCTACAAGACACAAATATACCTATTTATGGTTATTGTGTGATACTTTCGGATTCTACCTTTCTTAGTGTAATAATTGATATTTCTAGTTCTCATTCTTTTAATGAGTTCTTGTCATTAAAGTGTTCGTGATATATGTATGTCTGTAATTTCAGGCTAGAATTCCGGATAATCCGATCCATGGAATTTGATACTTTTGTCTTCATTAAGTAAACGTTTGTATACGTCAACCTGTGTGTAAAATCCCACTAGCTACCGTCTAGCTTGATTGTTGACTGGCGTAAGATCTTACTGCTGGTAAAATTATGATGACTATACATATGATTACCTAGTGTTGACCGCTGACGTATCAATGCACTGCTTGTATTTTTATGCATAAGCTTAGGTGTATGCAATTACATATGTGTATGATTCAGTTCAAGTTTATTATATGTGTAAAACTTGGGTGATGTGGTGATATCTAATTCCACAATAATTTGTTCGTTTGATATCACATACACACACTCACACACAGAGTGAAACAATATTATTTACCGGATGACGTTTCGAACACAATTTATTACTTCAAATGAACTGTCGTCAAGATTTGACAGAATAGTTCTAAAATATTTGGGCATTGAGTGAGAAGTAGACATTTGTAAAAATTATATCTGTAAAATCTCAGCGAAATAGGAATGCGTAATTCCAACGTTTCGTTCGGCAATCTGGTCCGGACTTCTTCAGGAAAATCAATCGAAATTAACAAAACAGAGTTTTATATATAAAAGGACCATCTCTTGTTTTTTAAAACTTTGTCCAATCATGATTCATAAAACAAGTATCAAAAAGTATAATAAACAAAATTGTATGATCTGTGATCAAAATTTGACCTCAGACTTACAAATATTGATCTACCTTTGTTAAACACTTTAAACACAGTGTGTATGTGTGCGGATAAGCAGTCGTAAAACAATGTTTTAACGTCTCCATAAGAAGAAATAGGCAGTCGGGAATTTCGACCAAGTACTCTATTGATTAGTGATACATATCCATTTTTATTTATTAATCAGGATTTCCTATGCATCAGCTAACATCACACCTTCATGTCTGTTCAAACTGTTAGTATCTAGAATTTTATGATTAGACGTATTTTCAAAATTATGGTGTTTAGGATTGGAGTTTAGTTGAAGCACCCTGTCAAACTCGTGACTTTGTCTTCTTTCTGAATATTGAGCTGCTTCGTTCGACCTACTGGAGTTGTCAGGTGACTGGACAGCTACGGATTTAGGATATGCATTTTGTTGCAGACAACGGAGAGTGAAAACACGATGATTGTACCAATTACATGGTTTCTTTGTTAATTTAATTCGATTGCAGAATAATTCAAATGAACTGTCCTCAAGATTTGACAGAAGTTCGGACCAGATTTCCGAACGAAACTTTGGAATTACTCATTTCAATCTCACTGAGATTTCACAAATATAATTTTTTACAATTTATTGTTGTTCATAATCAAATCAATTATAACTGCGGAGCTTTCGTTTTATGGTATTCTTTATTCCTTCCTACTCGTCGTAGAGTTAGTAGAATTTTCCAGATGTCATGGTGGGCAGGTGTAAAGTCATTCCTATTACACGTATTCTCAAGCGATTCGAAAAAATAAAGCTTCCGTTATCAGTGTCCCCCTCCACCCGATTATAAGTACCATGGTATTGTAAGGTATGGTATTACGTTCAGCGCTATGGCTGAGCTGTTCTCCAGATTTCTTATCTTATTAAGGTCAACTAGTCTAGATTTTGCTAGGTTTTTGTGCTCCGGACATCTGGAAAATTCTACTACCCATACGACAAATAGAAAGGAAGGAATAAAGAACATTGTAAAACGAAAGTCTTGAAGTTGTGTGGTTATGGTTGATGTTATGGTTATAAACAATACTAGATTGTGTTCGAAATGTAATCCAGTAACTAAGACTGTTTCAAGTGTTGGTTTGTAGGGATTTGATTGGTTTCAGGATTTCATCATGAGCTGACATTAGTTAGAGAACCATTGGAAAACATGGGAGTACTGGACAGCTGTTTCGCCCTAGTTTGGGACTCTTCAGCAATACGCACCCACCGGGATTCGGACCTTCCGAGCTTGCCTTGTAACCGGAAGGTCCTGGGTTCGAATCCCGGTCGATGCGTACTGATGAAGAGTCCCAAACTACGACAAAACAGTTGTCCAGAACTCCCAGGTTTTCCAGTGGTTCTCTAACTGATGTCAGCTCATGATGAAATCCTAAAACTGTTTCACTCTCTCCCTCTGTGATATATCTAAATAAAGAAATTAATACTGAGTTTTAAGCTAAACCTTAACCATTGTATTGCCTTTTTCGTGCAAATAAACAGAACTAAGGGAAATAAAAGTTCAATCGAAGATATTCTTTGTCATTTTTTATTTGTATTTCATGAGAGAGTTCAGTTATTAAGAGAGAATATTTGTCTTTTCCTGTTAACACATATTGATCTTTTAAATCTCTATGACTTATTCATTCATTCATCATTCGTTTGCTTTTTCTTTTTGTATTTTCTCCTAATTTTCAACAAAATATTTTTCTACCTCTCTCTGTTGGATGCTCTCAAATATATACATGGACATACTTCTGCGTATATGTTGCGTACACATATATATATATGCCTGTTTAATGTTGGTATCGTAATCTGGTCAAATGCAAATGACTATATTGACAATGAATGCACACAAACACATCCACATAAATATACACACATACACACATACATACATACATGTCGTTATGCCTGAACGCTATTCAATGACACGTATACACAACAATATATGTATATATGTATAGTTGGGTGACAGCACAGGCTATATGACAGCTCATATGATGATTGGTGAAATTTCTAGCCTAATGATGAGTACACAGACAGAGACCACTGCTACTGATGATGATGATGACCAAACAGATTCATCACAATTTCTCCTCTCTAATAATTTAAAAATACGAACAGCAACAACAGAAACAAATACAACATCAGTTTCTTCATTTCTTTCGTCTCCTCCGTCTACTTCAGTTCAACCATTAAATTCTGTTTTAAATATAAATAATTCAAGATTGCTCAATCATATTAATGATGATGATAATAATACTACTACTAATATTGTCTTGAGTAATCATAATTCTTCATGTGTAAATTCTGTCGTCAATTCATCTTCAACTACAGCTAATACTCCTATTGTCGATGGTGACAATTGTACTGTGGTGAATGGATTAAAGCTTCCTTCAACACCTACTAATTCGAGTACTTTATCTTCTGCTTTACTTGATAATTGGATAAATACTGATCGTGTAAATAGATTATCAGGTGGAAAAGCATCACATCCTACTGATACTAGTACAACTCCTGCTGCTACTCTTAATACAACTACACCTGTCGCCCAATATACTGATCAAGCTACACAAACCGTTGCCAATGATCATGACATCTTTCATGATCATGAAGACAGTGTAGATTTAGAATTAGACAAAGACTTGGAAAGAGAACTGTTAGAAAATTACGAAGGTATTCTTGAAACAGTGGAATTTGTAACTGTAACAGAGGATGGAGAAACTGTCACCTCACGAATGGGTTGTCTGGGTAAGTTCAATAAAGTAGAATCACTTTTTTTAACACAGTAAGTAGTTTCCCTTTCTATATATATATGCAGCCTGATTGGTAGAAATATTTTCATATGTTTTACTGTTGTGAAGAAGAAATTTGACTGTTTCAATTAGTGGCATTTTCCTTTTTCGTTCTAAGAATGTAAAGATTCCAGTATCTTGTGCTGATTGCCATCAATTACCAAACATCAATTCAAGGTGTTTGGCTACGTTACAAAGTCAGTTGATAGGATTCGATCAGCACTAAACACCAAGGAATAGACATATGACATTGATGGTTACACCCTAGTAACCAGTCTATACAAGTGGTTCCTTATTATTTAGCGACGGTCAAACCAAAACGTGGCACCAGTCAATGAAATGCACAACAGTTAGTTTAAGCCACGTAAGAAGATGTAGACTTTCTGACTGGCTTGGGTCCTCGAGACGGTAAAAACCAAAAGCTGGATAGAGACAATTGGTGATATGGCTCAAAATCGTTCTGAATGGCTGGTGCAGATGCATCCACTCCTTGTGACCTATGATTTCCAATGAAACTATATTGTTCTTCGATGTTACTATTCCTTTGTCTCACACCTCTGTTTACTGTCTCTATTTTGCATTTCTTCTACTTTTTTCTCTTGCTTTGTGTGCTACAAGGAGGGAGTGTGGTGACTTGAAGTGCTGCACATCGGTGCAAAGTTCTATGTTGAAAACAGACAAACAGACAGCGGTTTTAGTGGTATAAATGACAGTAGCAGGCAGCGGAATTATGAATCAATGTTTCATTGTATTCGGGAAGTTGTTTAATAGGTGTGACTAAATTCTGATTCGTTTATAATTCTATTCACATTCATCACGTAAATATACTAAACCATGATTCAATAAGCTACCGAGTTTATTTCATTGTTATAATAATATTGTTCCCTTGGGTTTCGTTGGGAATACAAGGTTTCAGCAGTACATCTCCATTCTGTTCTCAGAATTCTGTTTGTTTAGTTGCTTCCATGTTTGCCCACAAGCTTTCATTACATCCTCACGTGTTTCTCCTCCATGTTACTTTGGAAAGCTCAACTCGTCGTTTCCCATTCGAATTCTATACGAGGGCTGGTCGCAACATATCACTCAACGGTCTCCTCAATCAGCATATGTCTGATTCATCGGCATTTCCTTCTGCATATTTTTTGGGTGTTAGGTTCTTGGTTAGTCTACTATTTCACTAGTTTACTAGCAAATTCTAAGCTTTGAAAGACTTAGTTAGTTTGGGCGTGAGGCTAGTAACCCTTCTCCGGAAAATCAGACCAATCTCCACAAAAAAGTAAAAACTGGTTTAAGATATTTATTGGCTAATAATCAAACAGTCTCCCTGCCTTATTTTATTGATTCCATGTATGTGTGACTGTTCACTTATTCGTGATTCAACTTCATGATTGGCCTTGATCTTAATTGCACTCACTGGCGTTTTTGGGGTCAGGCAGACAGATTTTAATACATGCTGAAACTTAAAAGGTTTTAGTATGTGTACAGAAAAAGTAGTTGATCTATGTGACTAAATTTGTAAAAAGCCTTATTACACTCGTTATATTAGTGCTTATTAATTTCCAAGTAATCTTGAAATCTGTTTGAAGTATCTATGGTGTATTCCATGTAGTGGAGCAACAGTATATGCTGTAACCTGCATATAGGACTACAAAGTTGGTCATAATGATAACAATAATAATAGTGCTAGTAACGCTAATAACAGCATGTACACTTATCTAGTGGTGACATTAACGACTGATAGTAGTACCAATGGATTGTTTGACTTAAAAGTTACTCATCTTATCCTACCTCCTCTTCATTAGACAAATCTTCAATATACGACTCAATATGATTTCTGTATGATTAGTATACACTGTTGTTTGTGTACATCGATGTAACTTGAGATATTACTTCCAGTGATTGTAAATTATTGAGAAAAAATATTGTATAAGGAAGCCTTTAAACCTTGACTTAGTTCAGAGTGTTTCTCTATTACATATTTCATACGCTTATGTCTAGATCACTTATGAAACCTACAACAATCGTATTGGTTGACCGTCGACTAAAGTAATTCACTTTTGATTATTGAATTTAGAAATTACGTGTATTCGATTTGTGTGTGGTACAGCGGTAAAATTCTCTCCAACCACACACATGGTCCTGGGATCGATCCCGGCCGACGAATTCCTGAACCTTAGTGTAGCCCGTAGTAAGTCCGGTAAAGAGGAAAGGTTAGACGTGAGGTCAGGAACCCCATCCCTTAAAAATAAAACCTCTACCACTGAAACTTCATAGCTCCAAGCTTGAAGTTCTGTATTCCACTCGGAACACAAGGCAACAGAAAACTTCCCTCTCATACATTGAGAACATCTACATTATATATATATATATATATATATATATATATATATATATAATCATTATTATTATTATTATTATTATTGTATCCTTTAGTTCCTAGAGGAACATAGGGCTTCAGCTGCGCACCTCCATTGACTTCGGTTTTCTGACAACTTTTTCACCCTGCTCCAGGTCTGTCCACATGCTTTCATCTCCTCCTCGCATGACCTCCTCCAAGTCACCCTTGGACGACCAACTCGCCGCTTCCCTTTCGGGTTCCACTCCAGCAATGGCTTGTCTAGTGATGTCACTTGATGGTTTCCTCAGCGTATGGCCAATCCATCTCCATTTCTTTCTGCCTATTTGTTTCACAATCGGTTCCTGATTGGTTCGCTCCCAGAGATCCCTGTTGCTGATCTTTTCTGGCCATCTGATCTTGAGTATTGAGCGAAAACAGCTGTTAATGAAGGTTTGGAGTTTGTTTGAGATGCGCTTTATGACGCGCAGTGCAAGTCTCTGATCCGTATAGTAGCACTGACTTCACATTGGAGTTGAAAATCCGGATCTTATTTTTGATGGTGATTGCTGTTGACCTCCACACAGATTTGAGAGCAATGAAAGCTTGTCTTGCTTTTCCGATTCTGGCTTTGATGTCCTCGTCAGTTCCATCCGCCTGTAGTTGAAACGATGCTTCCCAGGTAGGTGAAGGAGGTTGTTTCTTCCAGGTTCTTCCCATTTATGCTTATTGTGGTCTGTTGGTGTTGTTGATGTTGGCTAGGAATCTTCATCATCTCTGTTTTATCTATGTTCACGTGAAGTCCTATCTTTGATGCTTCTTCTGCCAACTTGTTACTTTTCACTTGCATATCTTCCAGTTTATGGGAAATCAGACATATATCATCGGCGAAATCCAGATCCTCCAAGTCTTTTGTGTCAGTCCATTTTATGCCTGTTCCCTCGTTGGTTGCCGTTGTCTGTCGCATTATCCAATCAATTGCAATCAGGAAGATCATTGGTGATAGTAGACAGCCTTGCCTCACTCCCGTCCTCACTTCGAAGGCTTCCGTAAGTTTCCCGTTGTGGATTACTTGGCATGCAGCATTGTCGTATAACTGTTGGATGAGGTGTATAATTGTCGATGGGACCCCGTAGTAGCGAAGTAGTTGCCAAATGACCTCTCGATCGACGCTGTCGAAGGCCTTTATATATATATATATATATATATATTCCCATAATATCACATATTGTAGTGTAAATTTCAAAGGAATATTTTGAAAGGAACAATAATTCAGGGAACAAAATATCTCAGTCCACTAGGGACAAATATAGCTTTAATATAAAAGAAACGAAAAAAAAGATTGAAGTTATTTTATACTTATCACTTGTGATAAGACATAAAATGATGAAACCCACGGTTGACTAACGTGCATAAAGTTATAGTTATAATGGCACATTGCTAAATCAATGCGGATCCTCCTAGTTTCCCAGATTTCTTTGTAATTTCACTTATTCATCATACGAAAAAATTTTTGCATACTAATAATATTAGAGAGAGATATATATACAAAATTAAACATAGATATTATTATTCTTATGGATGTGATAATTCAATTTTACTTGATAGAATTTTGACATATAATGAGAATCACTTATGCAATTATGCGTATTGGTGTATTTATCTCCGTGATACGCCTTAAAACTGATTCATTCATAACAATTATGGGAATAAGAACAAACAGTTTAGCGAAGAAAAGACTCTCTCTCTTTCTCTAATTGGTGAATTCATTCACTTAGCTGTACAATCACAATAATACATAATTGTTTTTCTATGTTTGTGTATGTGTGTGCCTCCAAAGCCTCAGGATGGTTGGGGGTGGGTGTCTTGCGCTGCGGGTTGGCCACCCCTCCGTACACCTCTTGAAATGCTCCCATATGACCGTGCGTCTTACATAGCCTCTCCTGAGGAAGTCCTACTCACTGCCTTCACGTGGCGGAGGTGTTTTTCACCGAAGTGAGAGGGCAAAAGCGGATGCCCGGCGCTCTTCACCGGGTTGACTGTCCATTGGATGAGTCTAGGGGAGATGGCTAAACCCTGATTCCAAACCTCCAACGACTGGCGTATGAAGCTCACCGGAGTTCACCGGCAGACGTATGGACAAAGGGCTTATTGGATGCCCTGGATGTCTGGCCCCATTCAAAAAGGCGTATGAACCGGACTCCGGTCACCGGCTGGCTGCCAATGGATAGTGGACTCCGTACTCCACTCCTACTGCCTTGTAGGTCACACTTGGTTGTGTAAAGGCTAGAGCTGCACTCTCAAACAAAAGGCCGAGCGATGCTGGGGACATCACTCGTACCCAATTCCCATGAAACTTCATCAACTCTCTTACAAACATTCGAGATGTTCATGAAGCCGGCTCATCCTCCCGTAGGAGATAGCCGAAGTAAAGAAGAAGAAGAAGTGTATGCGTGTGCGCATTCAGCCTGTCAAATATAGCACAAAAATAAAAATAAGTTTGGAGTATTGTTCACATCATCAAGATGAATAATAATCAAGCGGTAACTAGGGGTTGAAAAATGGGGGTTGCATAATATGAAATAAGCTTAAGGAAAAGTTTAGACGTTAATCGAAGAGTA